AGTTGGTTCACAAGTTTGCTGGGCATCCACAGTGGTCTTTTTTATACAATTCCCTCTTTTCTTCCTCATCAGAATTGGATTTTTTTGTGTCTTCAGAATTTCCTGCCCAAGAGATTCTCATCCCTCTTGTACTGAATTTTCCTGTACAATTTTAGCCCATGAGATCCTAGCTATCTTTCCTCTGAATATTTGAAATTTGCTCTTCCAAAATCTGGGGAGGCTGGGCATGGTGGCATACTTCTGTAATTCCTGCTGCTGGGAAGGCTGAGGCTGGTGGAACTCATGAGCTTAGGGGTGATGACCTACAGTAGACTGTGCTGATTGAGTAGCCATGGTAAGTATGGAATTTGTGTGGTGAGCCATTGAGTGTAGAAGCCACCAGGGTACCCAAGGAGGGATGAGCTGGCCCAGATCAGAAACAGAACAGGAAAAAGCTCCTATGTCAATCACTGGTGATATTGGGCCTATGAGTAACCCATGTCCTTTCATCTTGAGAGAGATAGAGGTACTCAGCCTTGAGTAAGGATGGGTAAGGGAGTAAATTCTGGGATTTCTAACCTGGGTGACCAGGAGGTTGGTTTGTTCAGGTTCCAGTTCTGATACCTACTGGTTGTGTGATCCTGGGCAAGTCACTTAATATTTCAGTGGCTGAGACAACTCTCTAAAACTTTATATTGCCAAGAAGGTGACAAAAATACTACTCGGTTCTGCCCTCTTCGTCTATTTCTTCCTTCTGTCCTGGTGGTCTGTAGTATGCTTTGATGACATACTCACTTCTACTTCTACTGCCATTATCTTCATCCAAATGCTCTCCAGCATTTTTTTTCCCCTTTTGGTTCCTGAATTTTCTCACAATGCCAATCCACTTTCTCCCATTTTGCCTCTCCTGTTCTTTGTGAACAACTCCATTGACTCCCTAACTGGAAAAAAAAAAAGAATGTTTGACCACCTATGAAAGAAGATGACTTGAGGATAGATAAGGCATGATTCCAGTGAGAAAAGGGAGAGGACTATGTTCTCTTCCTGTCCTTTTCACTTTCCGTCCCTCCTGAAGGGGTTAGACATCTTCAAGTTAGAAACTCATTCTGTGCTTAAACAAAGCCTTGAGTACTGGGGCTGGGTCATGTCTCCGAGAATAAGGGTGATGCGATTCCCTGAGGAGATTAGTAAAATTTGGCTCTCACTTTCAGCTCTCCTCCCTCTAACCGGGGGCCATCACTTACAAGAGGCTCCAACCTTAGGTGGTTTCATTATTCAGTCTCACAAGAGTCCCTTCGTGGAGGATTTCAAATGCCTCGCTGTAGCCACAATTAATCTCTCGCTACTTTGGTTTATAAGGGAGAGGACAGATGGGCAGATGTATCATTTGAGCTCCAAACATTGGAGAATTTCAGAAATAATGGAATTGATGATTGGGAGCTTGCTTCATTTCTCCTTTGGCCTTTATTTGGGCAATGCTGTGGTATGGGGGAGGGAACAGAGGAGGAGGGCCTGCGTTCAAATCTGTGACTGACCACTAAATGGGGAGGCAAAGGCTTGTTCGATGTGACCATTACAGAAATAGCTCTGGTTTCAAATCCTCTGGTCCCTGCTTGGTCACGATACTCAGGGAAAAATGAACTCCTTCAGCCCCACAAACTGCTGGACACGTGTTGTCAGCATTCACCACTGCATTAAAATGGACTAAGGACATTTGGTTGTGCAGCAGGAGTCCTGATGGAATGGTCAGCAGCAGTTGAGGAGCTTATGGCAGTCTCAGCAGCTTTTCCAGAGCTAGTCCTTGGCTTAGATGCAGAGATAGTGAGTTACCATCTTCCAGGAAGGCAAAGAGGGGGCGGCTTAATTTGTACTGATCTGACCTTGTCAAGGACAGGAAAGTATAAAATGTTGATTATGTATGTAGATAAGGTATAAATAACCTACAATGTGTCACTCTTTTTTCCAAGCATACCTGAAGAAGTAGAAGTAGGAAGAGGGAACAAAATTCGTGTGTGTGTGTGTGTGTGTGTGTGTGTGTGTGTGTGTGTGCATGTGTGTGACACAGAGAGAGAGAGAGAGAGAGAGAGAGAGAGAGAGAGAGAGAGAGAGAGAGAGAGAGAACAAGCAAAGGAGCAGTCATTTTGTTGGTATAAGGGTGCCTCCCAGTGGGAAGCTCCATCCACCAATACAGATTTTGACCCATGAGGTAGCTTGGCATGGTAAAAAGAGTAAAAAGCTTGGCATGGATATGGAGTTGAAGTATCAGGGCTCAAATCCCAGCTCTACTTGGTGTTCACCTTTGGAGCTCTCCCTCAGGGCCCAATCTGGTTTATTGGCAATTCTACAAACTAGTCCACTCAGTCCGTCTACATCTACTGGTTGGCTCTAGACCCCAGACCATGCTTTAGCTTCACATCCTATCCAGCCATCCCATCATCTCCTCTGCAGTATCTGTCCCCATCCCCCTTAAACCCTGCAGAACAAAGTTCCCCTCCCTGCTCCAGTTTATCCAAATGCCACATCTTCTACTATGAGAATGTAATGTTCTTAAGGTCAGGAATTGTCTCTTTTAAAGTCTTTTTATCCCCAGAAATTAGCACAGTAACCAATGCATAGCACTGCTTAATAAATGCTCATTCATTCATGTATGTTCCGTACCACATGAATATGTTCTTCAGAGTTTATTTATAAGGGAGATAGACATCGAGGTTTGACACGCACAGGCTTTCAGATAATCAAGAATGTCAATCAAAGAAACACTCCTGAGCTCAGCAGCTCATTCAGCCATCCTAAACCATCTTAGATGTCCTGGCCAAGTCCTTGATTCCCCATGATTCTTCTCCAAGGTTTGGTTTTTAGATTATCCTTCTCCCTAGCCCAGAATGCGCCCGCCATGTTTTCCTATGAAATGATCCCCTCTCCCTTCCCTTCAGGACTGGGAATCAACCTCCTCATCGGTCCATTCAGTAATCCCATACCCCCTCAGCCAATCAAGATCCCCTGCTCAGCCTCTGGTGCGACAAGCACACAGTGTCTTTGAGGTGGAAGGGACTGAGGAGGCCACTCAGTCCCACACGAGCAAGAACGTCTTCTACAAGTCAACAAGTCAGTGAGCATTTACTAAGCACCACACAGAGGAAACAGGAGGTGGAAATCAATTCACTTAACCTCTCTAAGCATCAGTTTCCTCATCTGTAAAGGGATAATAATACTTGTACCGCCTACTTCTCAGAGTGAGGAAATTGCTTCATAAACCTTAAAGGACAGACGAAACAGAGCTGGAACTAGGATGTGCATGACTGGAGCTTCGTCTTAGGGTACTGACATCTAGGGGGTGTATGCATTTTCCCTGGAGCAGTCAGGAGGCCAGGTCCCCTCTTTTCCCACCTTGGTAGCCTCAACTAACCTGTACAATACTGGCATGGCTTTGTTTTTTCATCCCACTCAGGGCCATCCCTAACTGCCCCTTCTCCCAGTAAGTGTTACCAAGGGCCCTGCTCCTGTGACCCATCTCCTCCACTCTCCCTACACCAATTCCTTCGAGGGTGCAGGCTGGACTTTCTGGGAGGCAGGAAGGCTTCTCTGCTCTTAGTGTGACTCTGCATTCATGGTTAGATTGTCCTTTGCATTACTGTCTCCCCCCAACTGCTTTTGCACCAGCTGAGAGAATTCTAAGTTATGACTCTGTATAGATATATGTTAAATTGTTAAGATTTTGGTGGGAGGCAGTGTGGTGAGCCTTTCACTGGGATCTGGAGTCCAAAGACCTGGATTCTTGCTCCAGCTCGACAACTTCTTAAGAACCTGTGTGACCTTAGGCAAATCACCCAAAATCTCTGGGCCTCTTTCCTCCTCTGTAAAACAAGGTGGTTCCCCTCCATGATCTCTAACGTCCCAGCCTTCCTACACCATAGGGTATTAGCCCAAGATTGAAGTGATACGCAGAGGGAGGGACCAATAAGTTGTGTGCGGAAGCTGGCCAGTATAGACGTCCTCGATTGGAACACAGGGCCAGGGCAGGGGACTAGAGATCCAGGTGTGGGGAGCACTTCATTGTTGCATAACTGAAACAAAATTGAAAAAAAGATAATTTTTCTGCTTTTCACTGGTCTTTCTTTGCTCCCTCAGTTTCAGCCATATGGCAGCATGGAACCCTGCCAGCCCTGCAGGTGGGGGTTGGGACACAACCAAGTGGAGTGTTCCCACTTTCCTAGGAGATGACAGATTGCCTCTTTTTTGTCTTTTCCCTTTTGCCATTGCACTTTTGGCTGCTTCTGATGTCCACTGTCATTCTAGTATTGAACTGTTTTGTAATCATTTGTATTTATTCATTATATCTTTTCTCTATCCACTTATCCATCAATCTATTTATCTGTCTACCCAATTATCCCTCAATCCATCCATCTAACCATCAATCTAGTCATACATTTATCTATCCATCTTTTTATTCCTCTATCCATTCATCTATCTGTCTGTCTGTCTATCCATCTACCTATCCATCCATTTATCCATCTAACCATTCATCTATCAATCCATCTATATGTCTATCTATCCCTCAAACTACCTATCTATGTATCTATGTATCTATGTATCTATGTATCTATGTATCTATGTATCTATCTATCTATCTATCTATCTATCTATCTATCTATCTATCTATCTATCCATCCATGTTGTCAATCCTAATAGAATATAAGCTCCTAGAAGGAGCCTATTTCAGTTTTGTCTTTGTATCCCCAGCACCTGGCACACAGTAGGTGCCTACTAAATGCTTGTCAATAGACTGCTTGGCTTTTTTAGCCCCAAGGGTAGGTGGCATCACTTACAGCTGACTGGTCTTGATTATCCCACAATTTTGCTCCTTATCATTTGCCAGCTGGGATCTCTTCATGACCAACAGTGTACACAATTCAATACTAGTATTATTTCAGTGGATCAAATACTCTAGGGAAAAGTACTATACTGATGGCATGTTCTGTGTTTGTCTCAGCTTCATCACACCTGTGCCGCTGTCTTTTCAGGATGTCTGTGGCTCCTCCAAGCTACTGCTTTGTGGCTTTCCCCCCACGGGCTAAGGATGGGCTGGTGGTGTTTGGGAAGAACTCAGCGAGGCCCAGAGATGAAGTCCAGGAGGTTGTGTATATCGCAGCTGCCGACCACGAACCCGAAAGCAAAGTGGAGGTGAGTGACATGGGATCCACACCTTATTTTGTGGTTTGTGGCTTTTTGCCTCTCTCCCTCCCTTCCCTCTGGGCTGACTTAGCTCATACCACCATGATGGTCTTTCTGGGAAGCATGCGTGCTGGTCCCAGCTGCCACCTGGGCTTCTACTTGGTACTATTTCTCCGGCTCATGGTGTTAAAAAAAAGTAGTAGCCAATGAACACATCCGTCACTCCCATGTGTCTTGAAGAGGAATGTGAACAGATTCTCCAAGTCCTCAGGTGCAAATTTTATCAGCATCTAAGTGAAAGTTTCTGTTGTTAGTTTCAGGAGAAACAGATCTCTCTAAAGTATGTGGGACTGAGCAACAGGAGAGATTTTGATTTGAATTTTGGAGCTGGTGAAAAAATCCATCCCTGATTCAAGTGGGTTGAATCTCCAGAGGGAATAGGAGATAACTTTAGCAGACAGACACCCCTGGCTTCGGAGGAGTGGTCTTGCAGCCAGAGCAGGTAGAAGGGCGTGGCAAAGCCGTCATCTGCACCTGCTGCATTACAACAAGCTCTTGTCATTCTTAGCTTGGTGTGGGGATACCTGGGTCCCATCGCCCACACAAGGAGGCATATGGGTCATCAGTAGGGCACAGGTCAAGAGCTAGAAGGGACTTTGGAGGTCATCTCGTCCAACTCTCTCATTTTATAGGTGAAGAATGGAGAGCCAGGCAGGCTGTGACTTCCTCAAGGTCACACAGGTAGCATTTGGCAGAGCTGGGGCTTGAACTCAGGTCCTGTGACTCTCAGTCATTGACTGACTGATGGATATCCCAGTTTCTTTTAAATGGTTCTTTTAATCTTCAATTGAGTTTGAGAAAATACCATGTCCAACTCCAGGTTTTCAGTTTGGTGTGAAGCAGGGTCAAAGGCTTGTGAGTCAAATCCCCAAGGTCCAGAAGTTATACTTACTTTCCTTGTTCTCGATTTGGTGCTGTGTGCAGCAGACCCTGAAAGGTGTATTCCACACCAGGAGAAACCAAAGAGAGAAGGGCATCATTGGCCTCCCCAGTCTTCTTTTCGTGGGTTGGCATTCTTTGGCTGCTCCAGCTGGAGCCCTGGTCTACCAGCCTCTTCTCAAAAGGCTTTGGTTGGTTCTGTGGTTAGAACCTTGGAGTTAAAAGGGATCTCAGAGGCCATTTAGACAATCAATCAGTCCCCCAGCACTTATTAAGCACCTACTGTTTATAAGACCATTCACAACCAAGTGGTTTACATAAGAAATTTTTGAGACGGGTCCTTGGCAGTTTGGGAGGCTGTAGCTGGACTGACCATAGTCACAGGGAGAATGGTAAAACCTTGCTCCTGTATAATGCTTCTCCTCATTCCACGGTTTAGATAAACCACAACTTAAATCATTCCCCCTCCTCGAGCTGTATGAGGTTCCTTTTACAATTGCATACAGTAAATATTTTATATCCTATGATAAATTATCTATTCCACTGTTCCCCTGGTCTTAACCACCAGCACCGAAAAAGACTTCCACTGTTGTATGTTTTCTATAAATACTGCCCTTCATAAGCGTCATGTTAGTTTTAAAAATAATAATAACACCTAACATTTCTCTTGTCAAGTCTACAAGGATGTATTAAGCGCCTACTATGTGCCAGCCATTGAGCTAAGCACTGAGGATACAAAGACGTGCCAAACCTTCATCCGTGCCCCTGAGGGCTGCCTGTTAATGGAGAAAAAAAGCAAATAACATTGTATAAACAAGCAGTCTGTTGGAGAAGTCTCAGATGGAAGGCACTAGCATGATGGGGGACAGTGAAAAGTTTCTTTTTGCAGGTGAGGCTTTAGCTGAGGCTGAAAGGCCAGGACACTTATGGCCGGGACAGTGGAGAGAACGCTGGCTCTGAGCACAAAAGTCCTGAGTTTGGGTCCTACCTCTAATGCTGAAGACCTGCATGACCTCATCACTTAACTTTTCTGGGCCTCACTTTCCTCCTCTGTAAGATGAAGGGGTTAGACTAGAGAAAGCCCCTTCAGCCTTTCATCTGGGATCTCTTTGTATGCCGATAATTTGTCAGACCTTTTATTAGATGTCTGTAAACCTCTAAGCAAGGTAGTGCAGTGGATAGAATGCCATACCTGGAGTCAGGAAGACCTGAGTTCAAATCTGGCATCAGACACTTACTAGCTGAGTGGCCCATGTGATCTCTGTTTGACTCAGTTTCCTTACCTGTAAAATGAGGATATTAATAGCACCTATCTCCCAGTATTGTTGTGAGGATCAAATGAGATAATACTCATAAAGCAGTTAGCACAGTGCCGGGCACATAGTACACTCTATATAAATGGTAGCTGTTACTATTATGAATACATTGTTGCTCAGTCATTTTCAGTCATATCCTATCCTTCATGACCCTGTTTGGGGTTTTCTTGGCAAAGATGCTGGAGTGGTTTACTATTTCCTTCTTCAGCTTATGTTAGAGATGAGGAAACTGAGGTAAACAGGGTGAAGTGACTTGCCCAGGGTCACGCAGGTAGTACATATCTGAGGCTGGACTTGAACCCAGGTCCTCCTATCTCCAAGGCCAGCACCTTTTCACTTCTCCACCTAGCTGCCCTATTATTAATATATAGTTATCAAAAACATTAAACATTATTATTGTACAGTCCTTTGGCATAAGGGAGTCCCTCCTGGGAGGACTCTATTGACCCTTGCTTTCTATACCTGGGCTTACAGTGCCCTGCTCCCCCAGTAGAGAGGTGCCTGTCAATGGGTTAAGTCCTTGTACAGGTACCCAACTTATGTCTAAGAAAAGGCTGGTAGGCTGGCCAGAGAATTGGGGGAAAACGAGCCCTCAGTGAATTCAGGTGCTGAGAATAACACATGAATCAGTTCAATACAAAGCCTTGTTGCAAGCAATGGGGAAGAAGGGGAAGAGGAGAGAGAGGTGACCCCACATATAACTCAGGCTTACACACTGACACAGTATAACTCACACACAGGTAGCTCTGTGCTCAGGAGCAGAGACACAGGTCCATTCAGCAGGCAGGAGGTGCCCCCACAGGAGGAGAGGGGCTCCCCCAAAGTGTCCTTCAGAGAGGGAGGTTCTTATACTATGACTTGGGGGCTGGCCAACTTGCATATTAGGAAGTCAGGACAATATATTATTTTGTTATCAGAGAGGAAACAAGCTGGTGGTTGACAAAGCGTTATTTGGGGAACATAGTTGTACCAACCTTCAAAAAACTGTTTTTGTCAGCATTTTTCCATGAGTATGCTTTAGAGAGCCTCCCTTAAGGGGAGTCTGTCCTGATGGCCTCAAAACCATCAGCTCTAATCTTCTTACAATGGTTTCCATTCATAAATTCTATAACCTACAGCTTTCCTATAGTGGCGATATTATGGATGTCAATATTTCAGCTTGTGATGTTGCTGGTTATGACTGGAATGACTCTGGCCACCTCGTGTCTCATTGGTTTTACAAGGAGCCGGATAGAGCTTCACCAGTGTCAGGAATAACATGCTAATAATTACTCCTCCTCCATCTCCCAGCCCAAAAATATCTCTAGGGAATGAGGGGCCTCAGCAAGAGGTGTCCAGTAGCCCCCTCCCTTGGCTGCTTCACCTTTCCCCAGTCCACAACCTTGTGTGCTCTCAAAGCCCCAGTGAGAAAATAACACAAATTCTCTGTGCAGAAGGTGGGAGATACCAGACCCTACAGTCTTCTGGGATTCTGTACGGCCTTGGATGACTCATCAATAAATCAGCCCAGATTCATAGAATGTCAGCATTGGAGATATTGGGACTTCCCTTGATAATTACCCAATGAGAGGTCATCTAGCTTTTGCTTGATAACCTCCAATAAGGACCCAAGACATCCTGGGCCACTTTGGGGTGGTACTAATTATTAGGATGTTACTCCTGGCATCAAGCCTAAAGTTGGCTCTTTGCGACTTCTACCCACAACTCCCAGGTCTTCCCTCTTAGGCCAGGCAGACCAGACCTAGTCCTTCTATGGGATAACCCTTCAAGGACTTGAAGACAGTTATTGTAGTTCTTTCCTTGAGTCTTTTCTTCTTCAGGCTAAACATGCCCAGTTCCTTCTATCAGTTCTTATAAATGGCATGAATCGGACACTCTCCAGCGGTGTCCTTCCCAGAATTTTCCACCCACCATGGTACCCAGTGCTCTGGTCTGATCAAGACAGAAAACTACCTTGCCCAGGGTGGCAATGTAACTTGTCATGGCTTTGCCCGGGGACAAAAGGCTGGGTGGTGATTCTTCACGCCCACCATGGTTTCCAAGCCCACCATCGTTTCTAAAGCACCCTGTGTCTTGTCATTGTCCCTTAGACCAAGAAGTTTGACAGGCTCTTCAGACTGTTTCATAACAGCGCCGTTGGCAGTGCCAGGATTTTCTTCACCCATCCAAGTACAGTAGGAATGACATAACGAGTGTTTTTTCATTGATTAAACAAATGTATTGTCCCGATGTCTCCATTCCCCCTTTCACTGGACAGTGCCCAGGAATACTGGCTGCTGGAATGTGTGAGGGGGAGGCCAGGGTTGTCATGAGCCCAGGGAATAATGAAGGACTTCCTCTAGAAGAATTGCCTTTTGTGTTTCTGGCTTCTGTTGGGCGCTATGACCTTTGTACATCTGATTTTTTAGCTGTTTTCAGGCTGCTTTGCTTCACTATTCTCCAGGTGTTTATGGGTTCATCTGCTGGGAGGAAACTCAAAGATAATCTTGAGTTGATCGGTCATTTTGGACATGAGGAAATTGACTCCCAGAAAGTGACTTACCCAAGGTCACACAGCTAGTCAGGGATTTTCTGAGTGATTTGTTTTTATATCGTAAGGACTTAATTGTTTGATTTTATTGCTGGCTATTAAGTTTGTAATTTTTCAAAATTACATTTATTATTTTAAAATTCCTTTCAATGGTCTCAAACATGAATATCTCAAAATAGAGAAGAAATTTAAAACACACACACACACACACACACACACACACA